CAAACTCTGCTTGAGCGCAGGGCGCCTGGGGGATGCTATGGTGGGTGATAGCCAGGGCTGCCCTGTAAAATAAGGGATTTGGGATCCCAGGGGAATGTGACTCCTCCACACTGTGAAATACACGGGAGGTCGAAGACTTATCTCAGCAACTTTTTATATTGATTCATGTTAAAATGATATTCTTTTGGATATATTGCATTAGGGTAAATGAAATACATTATTAAAATTAATTTCACTTGGGGCCTCCCTGGTGGCGCAAGGGGTGAAGCACTGCACTATGAAGCAATCCACAGCCTCTGCAGCACGAGTTCAATCCACCGTCAGGGACCAACCCACATGGCGCAGCAGACCTCTCCTATCTTGCCTGCTGCTCCCCTCAGCAGCGTATTTCAGTCAGTCTGCCTGTTCTGTTCCCCACTCTGTCTCTGGTGAATCCTCTCACCCCCCATGCCTCTGGCCTGTACCCCAGCTCTTGTATGCATAAATAAATAAATCTTTAAAAAAATTAATTTCACTTTTTTAAACTTTTCAATGTATCTACTAGAAAATATAAAATCACACTTGTGGCTTGCATTTGTGATTTGCATTAAAATTCTACCGGAGTGGCCATCTCTGTTAATTACTTGCATGTTGTCAGGTAGTTAATCATCGCTTGACCACTGACCTAGACAGGAGGTGGGGGGCAGCCATGAAGATAGAAGGGGACAAGTTCAGGCATGTTTTGGAGGGGGTGTTCACAGGATCTAGCACCATGCACATAATCCTGAGCGTTCCTTATGTTTATTATTTAACCTTAGGAGTAGAGCTCATGAGAACTTGCCCCTGCCCTTTAGCAGCGTTATTACTAGTGCCGTCATTGCCTATACTCCTCAGCCTATTTTGGTATATTTGTATCAACTAGAGCCACCCACCATTACTTTTAAGATATGGCTAAATCTGTTATCTCACCATTTATATTACTAATGGGAACTTTTTTTTTGAGCCAGAGGGCAAGGACTCTAATATCCTAATCATTCTGTCAAGAGTTAAGTTCACTGAGCGTGGTTAATATTTGTTACAACTTCATCAGCAATAAAAGCTTTGCTTCTTTAAAAAACATGCTTTTGTCTCCTCTTTCCAGAGAGGTCAATGAATCCCATAGTCAGGATCCCTAGGAGCCTAAATGCTTGATATTCTATGACAATAATGAATTCTCTTCTCCTGAGTTTATATTCTTTGTAAAATTGCACTGGGTTGAGACAAGCACATCTAGGATTTTCTGAAAATGACAAAAACTCAGCTTTCAGGAGAGAAAGATCTCAATATTATCACTCTTTGTAATGAAGAGAGACTGAAAAGCTGTATGCCAAATGAGTGAGTCAAGAGAATGCAGGATTTGGGGCAGAAAGAACAAAGAGTTTTCAAAATAAGAGGATTGTTGAGTTGAAAGTGCTAGTGATGAAATCATCCTTCAATACAAGGCCCCAACCCCTGCCCAAGTTGGTCCCTGTGATGAAAATTTGTGGGTCAACATTAATAGGCATGATGTGCCCAGATATTTGGTCAAACATCATTCTGGGTATGTCTGTGAAGGTGTTTCTGGATGAGATAAGCATTTGAATTGGTAGACTGAATAAATAGCAGATCACTCTCCCTAATATGGGTGTGCCTCATCTAATCAGATGAAGGTTTTAATAGAAGAAAAAAGGCAAAGTAAAATAGAACTCCTCTTGCCTGAGGGCCTCCAGGTGGGAACATGAGTTTTTTCAGTCTGTCTTCAGATTCAAGCTGAAACATAGGCTATTTCTCAGCCTTCAGACTGCAATCCACACCATTGGCTTCTGGTTCTCCACCCTCAGAACAGAGTCCAACTGGACTATCAGCTATCCTGGGTCTCAGTTTGCTGATTTACCCCACAAATCTTGGGACTTAGCTGCCTCCAATAATCACATAAGGCAATTCTTTATAAGAAATATATACATATAGATCCTATTGGTGCTATCTCTCTGGAGAGTCTTAGTACAGATTTTGATACCAAGAAGTGGGGGGGGGGGCGCTGTGACAAATGCCTAAAAATGTGGAAGTAGATTTGGAGCAGGTTAATGGTTTTGAGGTGCATAATAGAAAAAAGTATAGATTGATATGAAGAGGCGCTTGTTGGTAGAAGTGTAGACATTAGAGTTCTGGCAAGTTGGCAGACGTCAAAACATGGCTCACCTCTTACCTGTATGTACTACAAAATAATACTTATAAAGACAACAATCCCCGAGTGACACCTGGAGGACTGTCAATTTCACAAAGAAAAGCCACACAGCAGAGACAGTCAGAAAAATTTCAATTTAATTTCGCTTGGAACACTACCAGGGCAGCCCCACCAGAGAGGGAGGGATGGCTGTGAAATGGAGCCTTTTTTTGTTGGTGATCTGCGGTCAGTCTCTGGGGGATCACGTATATGCTAATAAGGCAGATGCCATACTATAAGAAATCAAGCAAGGAGTGAGGGCCAGAAAGTGAAACACCCCACACCCAGGTCAGCAGGGGTGATTGAGAACATCAGAGAGTTCTTGTGACTGCTCCAGTCTAATCTAAGATGGGGACTGTCAGCTTGAGCCTATGGGCCCTGGACTAGGCAGCTGCAGCTCAAACCAGTGGGGAAGGCCTGGTTAGAGAAACTTGATGTCAGAAGAGGCCCACATGTGTGTGGCCTTGCATAGAAGAGTTTCCTCTCTACAATTGGCATCTGAGTTATATGAAACAACTGCCCACAATTGCTGGGCTAGCATTCACCTTTGGGGCTTGCTGCCTCAGAGTTTAAGGCTCCTGGCCCTGAGAAAAGTCACTTGGACTTCAGGGGATGGCTCAGGACATAGATTCTGGCCACGGCTTAACCTGAACCCCAACACTTACCAGGTCCTGAATTACAGAGACAGGATGGACAGAGGACTTTAATGAAGACAAATTTTTACTGACAACACCTACAGATCCAAGGCCCTTCTCTGCCTGTAACAGCAATTATCACCGAGACCTGTCTGCATTTCCCATCCACGGTTCCTAGATAAACTCTGTTTCGGCCTTCGCCCCTGGGAAAAAATACTGGCCACATAATACACAAATCAGAGCTAGATAATAGCCCAAGATGAGGAAGCTATCCCTGAGGACCTGGCCTATGGGAGGGGCCATTGCAGAACTCCCTTGGCGTAGGCACCTGCAGCCCCTTAGGAGACAGCCTGCTAAATTGGAGGAGATGTTTGCACATCACAAATCTGATAAGAGCTTCATACTGAAGGCATAGAAATCTTATCCAATTTAACAACCAAAAAACCCAATTGAGAAAATGGGCAGAAGATCCAAAGAGGCTATACAAGTATCCAATAGACATGGAAAAATGTTCATCATCACTTATTAAGGAAATAAAAATCAAAAGCATAACGAGATCTCATGTCACACTTGTGAGAATGGTTGACATAAAAAAACTACTAACAAGTGCTGGTAAGGGTGTGGAGAAAGAGGAACCCTTGTGTACTCTTGGTGGGAATGTAAATTGGTGTAACCATTTTGGAAAATTATAGGGACCTTCCTCAAGTAACTAAAAATAGAACAACCAGGTGATCCAGCAATCCTACTTCTGGGATCTACTCAAAGAATGTGAAATCATCAACTAAGTTACATGCACCACAATGTTTATTGCAGCAGAGTTGCAATGCTAAGACTCACAAGCAATGCTAAGACTCACAAGCAAGACTTGAGCATGGGACCACCCCGCAGAGCCATGAGCAGTCCCCCGCCCCTATGTATCTGAAAGATAGGGCTCTGGTCAAAGAGGGTGTTCCTAATTTTATCTGATGTTTCTTTTTGCTATTGAAAACTTTTGATATAAACACTGCTGAATAATTTTTGAAAGGTTAACGATGACTACCTCTGGTAACAGATATGAGATGGTTTCTACTTTATTTATTCTGTATTACTGGTGGCATCTGTTATCAGAAAAAAAATAAGCAATTTCTTTGCATAAAACAAAACTAAAGAGTGTAGGCTCTGTGTTTATTCTGTATCTACAGCATCACAGACACTCAGTGAATGAATGTGTCATGAAGGGATGATTACTAGTGGGTAGACCCTGCCACATGAGCTCCCTCTCTCTCTCTCTTTCTCAGTGATGACTTTATTAATGCTGTGAGAGACAGTGCATGGGAGGCTACAGAAGAATATCTGGCCTCAGCCAACTAGGAGTATCAGTGAGCTTCTTCATGTTGATAATGAGCAGTAAACCTACAGCAGACATCATAGTTAATGGTGAGAAGCTCTGAGTTTTGCCAATAAGATCGACAAGACAAAGGCTCAACAGCTATTTTGACATTGTAATGGAAATCCTAGATAATGTAATGTCACATGTAGAGCAAATGAAGTTTGTTCAGGCTTTTGCACCATTGGCCTCTGAGGCTATCACCTACAGATTGGATGCAGGAGGCACTTGCAAGTATGGGCTTGGGGCATGCATACCTGATGGTGGGCACCTGGCGTATGGTGTGCGCATGCGTAAGTGGGCTCACTTGCGCCAAGACCTGATGATCTAAGGGCGGCGTCAGAGAGGATCACTTGCAGCGGAGAAAGCCAGAGAAACTTGAGAGCGTGAAGATTTGTTGGGGGCCAGAAGGCCTGCCGGCCTCCGAGCTGCCCAGCCTCCTGGCACCCCTGCCTGCCCTGCATCTGGTCCTTTCACTACAAATGCTGTAGAAAAGCCACTGAGGGCTCCAGGACTCTCCTTTAACCCAGAGAAACAGCTGTGTGTCTTGCTGGCATAACAAGTGGCGTAGGTCAGCAGGATGATTTGACGCAGACAGGTATGGAGCCCTCCAAAGACCCTGGGAGGGACTAAGGGGTGGTGGGCCATGAGCATGTAGTGCTTGGTGGCTGCTCTCCTTTCTGTGTCAGCACCTTCCCAGAGGGGGCCCTGGGAGGATGAGCCCCCAGTGCAGGTGAAGAGGACTCGACACACTGTGGGAGAGTCATTGGATGGACATAATGCCTGCTCGGAGGCAGGGCTGACCGTTGAGTTTTCCCTCACAGCTCTGCAAATGGAGTTAAGGACAACACTGGAGGCGCCACGGCAGCACAAGTGGTGACCAAAGTCCAGGAGATGCAGGAAGAGCTAAAGACGCTGCAGGAGCACAGCAGGTGAACAAGGTCCAAGAAATGCAGGACAGGACCTCAAGTGGAGGAGGAGATGGTCTGCAAGGAGCAGCCCAGGACACCGGAGGCAGCAGACATGTTGGGGAAGAGCACGATTTGGCATTCAGAGCTCGCCCAGGGCTGACGCAAGGAAAACAGATGGACTTTGACAATTCTGCCAGAAGGTGAGAGAACTTTGGTTAATGTTATGTCTCTGAGGCCCCGGGGATAGATGGTATCTTTTGTACTCCCCGGGAGATGAGAATCAAGGGGTGACCATGCGCCTCAGTGGTCTAAATAAGACTTGTGCGAAGTTCTCTGCAGCCAGACAGAGATGTATCAGAGAAGCCAACTTAGAGCCTCCCTTGGCGCAGGCGGTAGAGCACAGCGCTGTGAAGCTGTCCTGAGCCTCTGCAGGCTGGAATCCCACGTGGCAGGGAGATCTCTCCTGTCTCGCCCGCTGCTCCCCTCAGCAGTGTTTCAATCAGTCTGCCTGTTCTGTTCCTCGTTCTGTCTCTGGTCAATCCTCTTAACCCCCAACACACCGCACCCCCCGCTCATCTGACCTGTACCCAGGTTCTTATATGAATGGATAAATCTTTTTTAAAAGCCAACTTAAGGCAAACGCTGTTACCAAGGTTTGGAAGCCCTGAGTGGTTGTTGAGCAGCTGAAGGATGTTAAAGAAGGTTGGTGAGTCTCTTCAAATCACCTCTGGGGGATGCCCCATTCACTTAAGAAAAATGGTGAGGCTGAGGAACTCATCTTTGTGGGGGTGGGGGGAACGTGGCTTTTGGTGGAGACTACAGCTGAGGAGGGACCCTAGAGATGCCATATGGGAGCTCGATAACCATGGGCCCCTGACCCATGTGCATGTGCAGAGGGTTGTCCTTACTGGAGAGGCCTGCTTGTCACATTGGTGGCTATGAAAGCCAAGTGTTTTATTTTCTCTTTTAAAGATTCACTTAAGCATAGAAGAGCTGGGGTACTGGCCAGAGGTGTGGGGGAGGGGTGAGAGGCTTCACCAGAGACAGAGTGGGGAGCAGAACAGGCAGACAACCTGAAAGACAAAGCTGAGAGGAGCAGTGGTCGAAAATGAGGTCGGTTGTGCCATGTTGGGGCCTTCCTGGAGGGGAGGTACTAATAACCATCTTGTCTTTCTGGAGGCGAAAAGCAGTTTAGTGCAGCATTATGAAGCAACCTGCAGCCTCTGCCGCAGGAGTTCAATCCCCTGCTGGCCAATATGAGTCAAGTATTGAGTGACAGTAGTGAGAACCCCTGAGGATTGGGGGATTACCCTGAAAGAGTAAAGAGTATGTTGCCAATCTAAGAGTGAGTACAACCGGAGGTGAATGCAGTGTGCAAAGGTTTGAGGCTGAGACCACAGCCAGAGTTGAGGAAGCCTGATGGCTGTGAGCGTAGGGTGGCTCCCCAATGAAATCAGCAGTGCCTTCACAACACACTTGATAGTTCATCAGCTGGTGCTAATAACCGTCTTGTCTTCCTGCCCTTACGTGGTACCCTGAAACCTACGGCCTGGGATCATCCTCTTCTGTTGTATTTTGTTCTACTGTTTCATTGGTTGCACTGTGTCTATTTCAGGGATCATGGCGGCAAAGTTACATTCACCAAATGGAAAATGTGTAGATTACACTGTGGACAACCAAGGAGGAGCGCGTTATGTAAGGCAAGTGATGATTGCTGAGGCTTTTGCACACCAGGGCTCTGAGACTAACGTAGCATTGAGAGCAGAAGAGTTTTATGAATGTGAGTGCCCTGCCCTCATGCCTGAGTGTGGACAAGGGGCTGAAGGTGTGGCAATCCAAAGTGAGAACACATGCACCAAGAAAGAGCCTATAGGGTTGGATTAAGAGGACAAATCAGCAGAGAATCAAGGAGGACAATGCAGCGGAGAAGTCAGAAGACATGCTGTACAGTGAGTGAGGATCCCAGAGCCCGAGGATCTCATGCTGGCCTCTGAGCCCGCCAGGCTCCTGGCACCCCTGCCTGCCCTGCATCTGGTCCCCTCACTACAAATGCTATAGAAAAGCCACTGAGGGCTCCAGGACTCTCTTTAACCCAGAGAAACTGCTGTGTGCCTTGCTGGCATAACAAGTGGCATAGGTCAGCAGGATGATTTGACGCAGACAGGTATGGAGCCGTCCAAAGACCCCGGGAGGGACTGAGTGGTGGTGGGCCATGAGCATGCAGTGCTTGGTGGCCACCCTCTGTGTCAGCACCTTCCCACCCTCTCTATGTCAGGCCCAAGGAGAATGATCCTCCAGTGCAGGTGAGGAGGACTTGACACATGGTGGGAGAGTCGTTGGATGGACATGATGCCTGATTGGAGGCAGGACTAGCTGTTGAATTTTCCCTCACAACTCTGCAAATGGGGTTAAGGACAACACTGGAGGCGCCACCGCAGCACAGGCAGCGACCAAAGTCTCGGAGCTGTGTGAAGAGCTAAAGACGCTGCAGGAGCACAGGAGGTGGAACAAGGTCTGGGAGATGCAGGACAAGACCTCAAGTGGAGGAGGAGATGGTCTGCAAGGACCAGCCCAGGACACTGGAGGCAGCAGACACGTTGGGGAAGAGCACAATTTGGCATTCAGAGCTCGCCCAGGGCTGACGCAAGGAAAACAGATGGACTTTGACAATTCTGCCAGAAGGTGAGAGAACTTTGGTTAATGTTATGTCTCTGGGGCCCGGGGATGGATAGTATCTTTTGTACTCCCCAGGAGATGAGAATCAAGGGGTGACCATGCACCTCAGTGGCCTATATAAGTCTTGTGTGAAGTTCTCTGCAGCCAGACAGATGTTTCAGAGAAGCCAACTTAGGGCCTCCCTGGTGGCACAGACAGTTGAACACAGCGCTGTGAAGCTGTCCTGAGCCTCTACAGGGTGGGTTCGAATCCCACGTGGCGCGGCAGACCTCTCCTGTCTCGCCCGCTGTTCCCCTCAGCAGTGTTTCAGTCAGTCTGCCTATTTTGTTCCTCGCTCTGTCTCTGGTACATCCTCTTACCCCCAACACGCCGCACCCCCCACACATCTGACCTATACCCTGGTTCTTTTTTTTAATTAATATTTTATTTTATATAATTCTTACATCATTTTTCATCTTTGCACAGTGTATGCATTATCATTTTGGTTATTTTCCCCATACAATTGCACCACCCCTTATTTTGACCCTAGTCCTTCCTTCCTCTTCCCTTCCCTCCCCCCCATCCCCTGCCATGGTGTCTCTGGTTTATAGTTGCTTCTTGATTTTGATTTTTACTTTGTATTGATTAGTCTTTTTCCTAGTCCCTTATTTAGGTTTTCTAAATTCCTGCTATGAGTGAGACCATCCAGTATTTTTCTTTTTCTTTCTTTTTTCGCTGAGCATGATCCCTTCTAGCTCCATCCATGTTGCTGCTAAACTGCATGTGTTTATCTTTTTTGGTTGCTGAGTAATATTCCATGGTGTATATGTGCCACATCTTCTTGATCCAGTCATCTATTTTGGGGCATTTGGGTTGTTTCCATAGCTTAGCTATTGTAAATAGTGCTCCTATAAACATAGGGATGCAGGTGCCTTTTGGAATGAATGTTTCTGTGTCATTAGGGTAAATACCTAGGAGTGGAATTGCTGGATCATATGGAAGCTCAATCTTTTGTAGGTCAAGGAATCTCCACACAGCTCTCCATAGTGGTTGGACCAGTTTGTACTCCCACCAGCAATGCAGGAGAGTTCCTTTTTCTCCACATCTTGCCAACATTTGTTGCTAGTTTTTTTAATATGTGCCATTCTCACTGGTGTAAGATGGTATCTCATTGTAGTTTTGATTTGCATTTCCCTGATTACAAGTAATATTGAACATTTTTTCATATGCCTATTGGCCATTTGCATTTCCTCTTCGGAGAAGTTTCTTTTAGTTCTTCTGCCCATTTTTTTGACTGGATCATTTTCTTTGTTTTTGTTGAGTCTCATCAGCTCTCTGTAGATTTTTGTGATCAGTCCTTTATCATTCGTGTTGTGTGCAAACATTTTCTCCCAGTTGGTGGGGTTTCTCTTTGTTTTTGTTATTGTCTCTTTTGCTGTGCAGAAGCTCTTTAATTTGATGTAGTCCCAGCTGTTTATCTTTGCCTTCACTATCACTGCTTTGGGCGAAGTGTCTGTGAAGATGTCTTTGAGGTGCATATCATGTAGTGTTTTGCCTATATTTCCTTCTATGTATTTTATGGTTCAGGTCTAGTTCTTGGTTTTATGTCTACTTCTTAAATACATTTTGAGTTGGTTTTTGTGCATGGTGTGAGGTAGTAGTCAAGCTTCATTCTTTTGCATGTAGCGACCCAGTTTTCTCAGCACCATTTATTGAACAAACTTTCTTTGCTCCGATGCATTTTCTTTGCTCCTTTGTCAAAGATTAGTTGGCCATAAACCTGTAGGTTTATTTCTGGATTTTCTATTCGGTTCCATTGGTCTTTGTCTGTTCTTGTTCCAATACCATGCAATTTTGATGATTATGGCTTTGTAGTATAGTTTGAAGTCTGGGCGTGTGATGCCTCCATTCCCTTGATTTTTTTTTTTTTTTCATGAGCTTTGGCTATTCAGGGTCTTCGGTGCTTCCATATGAATTTCATCAGTGATTGTTCTATTTCTTTGAAGAATGTCATTGAAATTTTTATTGGAATAGCATTGAATCTGTAAATTGCTTTTGGTAGGATGGCCATTTTAATAATGTTAATTCTTCCAATCCATGAGCAGGGGATGTCTTTCCATTCCTTTGTGTCTATTTTTTTTAACAGTGTTTTATAGTTTTCTTTGTATATGTCCTTCACCTCTTTTGTTAGGTTTATTCCCAAGTATGATTTTTTTTGTTTAATAAAAGGGATGGTTTTTTTGATTTCTTCTTCAGATTTATTGTTTGTGTAAAGGAAGGTTACTGATTTTTGCGTGTTGATTTTTGTATCCTTCCACTTTACTAAACTGATTGATTAGTTGAATTAGTTTTTCTGTGGAGTTTTTGGGGTTCTCTATGTATATTATCATATCATCTGCAAACAGTGATAGTTTAACTTCTTCCTTCGGTCTTTGGATTCCTTGTATGGCTTTCTCTTGTCTTATTGCTAGGACTTCCAGTATTATATTGAAAAGCAGTGGTGAGACTGGACATCCTTGTCTTGCTCTAGATCTTAATGGAAATGCTTTCAGCTTTTCGCCCTTGAGAATGATACTGGCTATGGGCTTGTCATAAATGGCCTTTATGATGTTGAGATATGTTCCTTGTATCCCGAGAATTTCAAGGGCCTTTATCATAAGGTGTTGTACTTTGTCGAAAGCTTTCTCAGCATCTATTGATATTATCATACGGTTTTTATATTTTTGTTGATGTGTTAGATAACGATTGATTTTTCAGATGTTGAACCATCCTTGTGTCCCTGGAATAAATCCTACTTGGTCTTATGGATACATTGTTGGATTCTGATAGCTAAAATTTATTGAGGATTTTTGCATCCGTGTTCATCAGAGAGATGGCCTGTAGTTTTCTTTATTTGTGGTGTTCTTGTTCGGTTTTGGTATTAGTGTAATGTTGGCTCCATAAAACGTGTTTGGTGTTATCCCTTCCTTCTCAATTTTTTGAAAGAGTTTGTGAAGGATAGGCACTAACTCATTTCTGAATGTTTGGTAGAATTCATTTGTAAATCCATCAGGTCCTGGGCTTTTGTTTTTGGGGAGGTTTTTGATTACCATTTCAATTTCACTGCTTGTAATTGGTCTGTTTAGGTGTTCTATTTCTTCTTTATCTAGCTTTGGGTGATTGTAGAGTTGTAGGAATTTGTCCATCTCTTCTAGATTGTTGAACTTGTTTGCATATAACTGTTCATAGTAGTTTCTGATTATTCTTTTGATTTCTGCTGAGTCTGTTGTGATTTCTCATCTTTCATTTGTGATCCTATTTATTTATGCTTTCTCCCATTTTTCCTTTGTGAGCCTAGCTAGGGGTTTGTCTATTTTATTTTTTCAAAGAACCAGCTTTTGCTTCATTGATTTTTTTGGATTGTTTTCTTTAGTTTTGATCTCATTTATTTCTGCTTTGATTTTTATTTCTTTCTGCTGGTTTTGGTGTACCATAGTTCTTGTATTAATGGATAATTTTTTTTATAAAGCCAACTTAACACAAGGCAAAAGCTGTTGCCAAGGTTTGGGAGCCCTGAGTGGTTGCTGAGCAGCTGAAGGATGTTAAAGAAGGTTGGTGAGTCTCTTCAAATCACCTCTTGGGGATGCCCCATTCACTTATAAAAAAGGGTGAGGCTGAGGAACTCATCTTTGGGGGGAGAGTGGGGAACGTGGCTTGTGGTGGAGACCACAGCCAAAGAGGGGACCCTAGAGATGCCATGTGGGAGCTCGATAACCATGGGCCCCTGACCCATGTGCATGTGCAGAGGGTTGTCCTTACTGACTAGAGGGGCCTGCTTGTCACATTGGTGGCTATGAAAGCCAAGTGTTTTGTTTTTTAAAGATTTATTTAAGCTTATAAGAGCTGGGATACCTGTCAGAGGCATGGGGGGTTGAAAGGATTCACCAGAGACAGAGTGGGGAGCAGAACAGGCAGACAACCTGAAAGACAAAGCTGAGGGGAGCAGTGGTCGAAAGAGGTCTCTGTGCCATGTGGGGGCCTCCCTGGAAGCGAAAGCAGTTTAGCACAGCATTGTGAAGCAACCCATAGCCTCTGCCACAGGAGTTCAATCCCCTGCTGGCCAATATGAGCCAGGTATTGACTGACGGTAGTGAGAACTCTTGAGGATTGGGGGATTACCCTGAAAGAGTAAAGAGTATGTTGCCAATCTAAGAGTGAGTATAACTGGAGGTGAATGCAGTATGCAAAGGTTTGAGGCTGAGACCACAGCCAGAGTTGAAGCCTGATGGCTGTGAGCGTAGGGTGGCTCCCCAATGTAATCAGCAGTGCCTTCACAACACACTTGATGGTTCATCAGCTGGTGCTAATAACCGTCTTGTCTTCCTGCCCTTACGTGGTACCCTGAAACCTATGGCCTGGGATCATCCTCTTCTGTTGTATTTTGTTCTACTGTTTCATTGGTTGCACTGTGTCTATTTCAGGGATCATGGCGGCAAAGTTACATTCACCAAATGGAAAATGTGTAGATTACACTGTGGACAACCAAGGAGGAGCGCGTTATGTAAGGCAAGTGATGATTGCTGAGGCTTTTGCACACCAGGGCTCTGAGACTAACGTAGCATTGAGAGCAGAAGAGTTTTATGAATGTGAGTGCCCTGCCCTCATGCCTGAGTGTGGACAAGGGGCTGAAGGTGTGGCAATCCAAAGTGAGAACACATGCACCAAGAAAGAGCCTATAGGGTTGGATTAAGAGGACAAATCAGCAGAGAATCAAGGAGGACAATGCAGCGGAGAAGTCAGAAGACATGCTGTACAGTGAGTGAGGATCCCAGAGCCCGAGGATCTCATGCTGGCCTCTGAGCCCGCCAGGCTCCTGGCACCCCTGCCTGCCCTGCATCTGGTCCCCTCACTACAAATGCTATAGAAAAGCCACTGAGGGCTCCAGGACTCTCTTTAACCCAGAGAAACTGCTGTGTGCCTTGCTGGCATAACAAGTGGCATAGGTCAGCAGGATGATTTGACGCAGACAGGTATGGAGCCGTCCAAAGACCCCGGGAGGGACTGAGTGGTGGTGGGCCATGAGCATGCAGTGCTTGGTGGCCACCCTCTGTGTCAGCACCTTCCCACCCTCTCTATGTCAGGCCCAAGGAGAATGATCCTCCAGTGCAGGTGAGGAGGACTTGACACATGGTGGGAGAGTCGTTGGATGGACATGATGCCTGATTGGAGGCAGGACTAGCTGTTGAATTTTCCCTCACAACTCTGCAAATGGGGTTAAGGACAACACTGGAGGCGCCACCGCAGCACAGGCAGCGACCAAAGTCTCGGAGCTGCGTGAAGGGTTAAAGATGTTGCAGGAGCACAGGAGGTGAACAAGGTCTGGGAGATGCAGGACAAGACCTCAAGTGGAGGAGGAGATGGTCTGCAAGGACCAGCCCAGGACATGGGAGGCAGCAGATGAGTTGGGGAGAGGAGCACAATTTGGCATTCAGAGCTCGCCCAGGGCTGACGCAAGGAAAACAGGTGGACTTTGACAATTCTGCCAGAAGGTGAGAGAACTTCAGTTAATGTTATGTCTCTGGGACTCTGTGGATGGACGGTATCTTTTGTACTCCCCTGGAGATGAGAATCACAGGGTGACCATGCACATCAGTGCCCTAATAAGCCTCGTGTGAAGCTCTGTGCAGAGATTTATCAGAAAAACCAACTTAGGGCCTCCCTTGGTGGTATAGGCAGTAGAGCGGAGCACTGTTAAGCTGGCCTGAACCTCTCGGGGCAGGTTCAAATCCCACGTGGCACGGCAGACCTCTCCTGTCTGGCCTGCACTCTCCTCAGCAGTGTATTTTGTCAGTCTTCCTGTTCTGTTTCCCGCTCTGTCTCTGGGGAATCCTCTTATCCCCACCCTATCCGAATATCTGGCCTGTACCCCAGTTTTTGTAGGCATGAATAAATCTTTACCAAAAAAAAAAAAGCCAATATAACACAAACCAAATGCTGTTGCCAAGGTTTGGGAGCCTTGAGTGGTTGTTAAGCAACTGAAGGATGTTAAAGAAGTTGATAAGTTTCTTCAAATCACCTCTGGGTGATGTGCCTGAAATTTATAAAAAAGGTGAGAAGCTGAGGAACTCCTCCTTGGGGGAGAGTGGGGAATGTGGCTTGTGGTGGAGACCACAGCAGAAGCGGGGACCCTAGAGCTGCCATGTGGGAGCTCGATAACCACGGGCCCCTAACCCATGAGCATGTGGAAAGGGTTGTCCTTACTGGAGGGGCCTGCTTGTCACATTGGTGGCTATGAAAGCCAAGTGTTTTATTTTCTCTTTTAAAGATTCACTTAAGCATAGAAGAGCTGGGGTACTGGCCAGAGGTAGGGGGTGGGGGGCGGTGAGAGGATTCACCAGAGACAGAGTGGGGAGCAGAACAGGCAGACCAACTGAAAGACAATGTGGAGGGGAGCAGTGGTTGGAAAAGAGGTCTGCTGTGCCATGTGGGGGCCTCCCTAGAGGCAAAAGCAGTTTAGCACCGCATTATGAAACAACTTGTAGCCTCTGCCACGGGAGTTCAATCCCCTGCTGGCCAATATGAGTCAGGTATTGAGTGACAGTAGTGAGAACAGGTCGGGATGGGGGGATTACCCTGAAAGAGTAACGAGTATGTTGCCAATCTAAGAGTGAGTACAACCGGGGTGAATGCAGTGTGCAAAGGTTGGAGCCTCATACCACAGCCAGAGTTAAGGAAGCCTGATGGCTGTGATTGAAGAGTGGCTCCCCAATGTAATCAGCAGTGTCTTCACTCACGCTTGATGTTTCATGGCTGGTGCTAATAACCGTACTGTCTTTGTGCCCTCAGGTGGTGCCCGAAAACCTAATGCCTGAGATTCCTCCTCTGCTGTTGTATATTATTCTACTGTTGTGTTGGTTGTACTGTGTTTATTTCGGGATCGTGGCGCCAAAGATACATTCACAAAAAGGAAAATATGTGTAGATTACAGTGTGGAAAACCAAGGAGGAGAGCGTTATATAAGGTGACGAGGATTGCTGAGGCTCTTCCACATGTGGGCTCTGACACTACCCCTTACAGCATTGAATGCAGAACAGTTTTAGGAGTGTGGGCGCCGCAAACGATGCCAGAGTGTGGACTAGGGGCCGAAGGTGTGGCGATGGAGAGTGAGAACACCTGAGCCCAGAAGGAGGATCTAGGGTTGGATTGACAGGACAAATCAGCAGAGAATCAAGGAGCAGAAAGCAGTGAAGTGAGAAGACATCCTGCACAGTGAGTGATGAGCGCCCAGAGGGGAAGAGAGCGAGCCCAGAGGGGAAGAGGAGAGGAGAGCCCCAGGGCACCTAGGCCATCCTTTCCCACTACCCCAAGCCTTAGGAGATGAGTAGGGAATAATGATAATGTCAAGTTAGCATGTTGGGAGGAAAATCAGTGATCTTGCTGTTTTGCATGTCCTAATCATCTAAAAAATGTACCACATAGCATAATTTGGAATCTTAATGAGAGCTGCTTTCATCGTCTTAATTGGATTCCGTGTTACATTATTCCTTTATAGAATCTCTCACTTTATTATGCTTACTGTGCCAAAAATATTTTGTTGGCACTGTATTTTAAACAGGAGAAAGAGAAAAAAGAACAAAGCAGATAGCTCATTTGAAAATACTCTAAAAGGCAAAGCTGTCCTTCACACACGCCAGCACTGCAGACATGGATGTCGGCCAAGCTCACTTTGCAGAAACGACGTTCACTCACGGGAAACAGACAACACCAGTTAGGAAGCAGCGCCACCCAGGGCAGCAGACTAGGGCTCTGGAATCTCCATTCCCCCGGGAAAGAGAAGGTAAGTAACCAGCACTCAGGACTGAGAGGCGCTGGGCCCTATGCCTTTTGTTTGCTGTTCCACAGCCCTCCAAGCAACTTCATGAGATAAATATGACAAGACGAGCAGTAGTTCTGGGAAAACTGAGGCCCAGGCTTATTAAGTAAATCTTCTCCCCTCAGGTGTGGTGACCCTGCTCTCCCACCAGAGTCCTCCACCATCGCCTATTGTGCGCTCTCCTCCTGGCAACCCTTTGCTCCCTGTCCCCTCCTCTGGACGCTTCAGATCTGTGGTCAGCTTTCAAGGGTTGTTTTTAAGGTTTTGTTAGGGGGAACAGGATGTCCTAAAGCTAATTCCATACAGGCTTTGTGGACTCCACCCCCCCCCCACCCCCAGGCCAAAGCCAAAGACACTGGGAACTCCAAATCCCATCACCACCAAAGGGAAGGTGGCTGGGACCTGAGGGAGGGGTTAAGCAGCCAGGTTGGTATAAAGCCAGACACGTGGGCTTTGGAGGGGTCCCCCATTTTGGCTCTCCACCAGCTAGCAGCGTCTGGCCAGCTCTGAGAGTGACTGTGGGTTTCCAGGTCGGCGGATCGGGTAGGACGCATTAAAGACTTTATTTCCCTGGTTTCTCCCTGAGTTGTACATTTTCTTATTTCCTTTTCCCTTGTAAATAGACCTTTTATTAACATTTTGTGTGTGCCTGTAGTGGAGTATTAATAAGTCCCTTGTAAGCGCGCGGGTGAGGACCCACAGCCAGGCAACCCGTTCCATATTGGGGCTGCCCTATAATAGTTTGTCTGACCTTTTGTTTGGTTTCTTTGTATCCCACATACAAGTGGCACCATCTGGTATTTATCTTGCTCCTCCTTATCTTGACTTACTTCACTGAGCCTAATCCATTCCAGCTCCATCCATGTTGCCGCATATGGCACGAGTTTATCTTTTTTTTTAATTGCTGAGTACTAGTCCACTGTCTATATTTACACTACATTTTGTTTTGTCTGTGGTATATTTATTTTAATTTATTTTTTACATTATTGTTCATTTTTAAGCAATATTTGCTTCCCCCCACCCCCTCAGGTGTAGTCCCCATAGAATTTCCTTCCCCAAGGCACCCGTGCACCATCACCTCAGTCCCCTGTGCTCCTCCCTCCCTCCCTCTGATCCCTCTCCCGCCTCCTCCCCTGCAGGATGTCTCTGATTTATAATTTTTCTGTTTTTGTTTTGTTTACACCACATCTCCTGATCCATTTATCTGTATGGGAAATTTGGATTGTTTCCCTATCTTGGCATTTGTAAACAATGCTGCTGTAAACAGAGTGCAGGTTTCCTTTTGTGTTTTCTGTAATGGTATAACAATTCTGATTATTCAGACTTGAAGAGAAGCCACATGAGATAAACTAGACACAAAAGGACCATTACTGCATGATCCCACTTAGAGGTCCCTACAGCAGTGAAATTCATACAGACAGAAAGTAGAGTGATAGTTGTCAGGGAGGCAGAAATGGAAAGGGTTTTTTTTTTTTTTTTGGGAAGATGAAAAAATTCAGACAGTATGATGGTTGCACAACATTGTGATGTACTTATCACAGAACTGTACACTTAAAAATGGTTAAGATGGTAAATTTTAGGTTATGTGTGTTTTGCCACAATTAGAAAAGATAAAAACATTTAATTGCCGGGTCTTATGGTAGCTCCATTTTTAGTAGACTGAGAAGCCTCCACACAGCTTTCCATAGTGGTTGGACCAGTTTGCACTCCCACCAGCAATGTAGGAGAGTTCCTTTTCACCACATCCTGGCCAACATTTGCTGTTGCTGGTTTTTTTGATGTGTGCCATTCTTACTGGTGTAAGGTGGTATCTCAGTGTGGTTTTGATTTGCATTTCCCTGATTATAACTGGTCCAGCCTCTATGGAAAGCTGTCTGGAGGTTCCTCAGTCTACTAAAAATGGAGCTACCATAAGACCCGGCAATTCCACTCCTAGGGATCTACCCAAAGGACACAAAAACATTGATTCAAAAGACACCTGTACACCCATGTTTACTGCAGCACTATTTACAATAGGTAAAACCTGGAAACAACCCAAATGCCCAAAAATAGATGACTGGATCAAGAAGATGTGGTACATATACACCATGGAATACTATTCAGCAATCAGAAAAGATAAACTCATACCATTCGCAGCAACGTGGATGGAGCTAGAAGGAATTATGCTCAGTGAAATAAGCCAGAAGGAAAAAGAAAAATATCAGATGGTTTCACTTGTAGCAGGAATACAGGGGAACCAGATAAGACATCAGTGTAAAAAAATAACAGTACAAAACACAACAAAGCAAAACCAGACAATTATAAACCAGAGACATCCTGCAGGGGAGGAGGAGGAAGAGGGATCAGAGGGAGGAAGGGAGGAGCACAAGGGACTGAGGTGATGGTGCACAGGTGCATTGGGGAAGGAAACTCTATGGGGAAACTACACCTGAGGGGGTGGGGAGAAGCAAATATTTAAAAATTTTTAAAAATTTAAAAAATAAGGGAAAAAAGATAAAAACACTTAAAATTTTAAAAAGAAAATAGGTTCAGAGAAATGAGCAAATATATTGTGCCCCATTTTGCAACATGGAAAATGTGTCTCTTAAGCCTGTGACTGTCAGTGCCTCAATCTGCGCCTCCCACCCAAGGCTGAGACCAAGGACTCCTCTTCCAAGGAGGAGGGTGAAAAAAAAGCCAGAGTGCCCCAAGTCCTATGCCTGGTGTTCTAGGACCTCTCCTCAACCACTTCACCGAACCCCACTGTGTTAATTGCCATGAGATACAGTAAGATGGGGCTACTCTTTCTGCTTTCTCACCTCAGGGCGGAACTCATCCTGTCCCTGGGTGAGGACAAATATAGGGACCAGTGGCAGAAATGTCCCACTGCACAGAGCAGTGGTTCCACAGTACCTGGGAACTTGGTAATGGCCCTACGCCTGACCCACTGAGTCAGAAACTCAGGAGTAGGCCCCAGATAGCTCTGGTTTCACATGCACTCCAGGGGATTCTGAAGCACTGTAAAGTTTGAGAATGACTTGAATAGATCATTCCCCAAAAGGAAAGCACAATCATCACAAATGCATTGGGTTGCAAGTAAAAATAGGACCAAATGCAAGAGCTAACCCCCGTTCCAAGCATAAACAAGAAACCCAAGGGTAAAATGCTAATCAATGGAAAAAATATTGCTCCAAAATCTATCAGTTTTCTTTCTTGGTATAATATTGACTAATCCAGGGACATTAAGAGATCAGCCAGATTCTGCATCTGGGCAGGCTCACACTGTGACATCCCCATTTCTCTGGGTGGCAGGAAGAGGGTTTTTCATGTCACATAGCAGCCACCAGAGTCCAAGAAGTCACAGGACTCAGAGACCTCGCCCCAGGGAGCTTCCTGGGAGAAAGGCTGCTATGCACATTACAGATTCCTGTGGCTTGCCCCCTGCCCAGGGACCCCGTGACCAGTGCTGTGTGGCGCAAGGAAAGAGAGCAGTGAAGCTCCTTGGAGACGCGAGCTGTTAGAGTCTGCCCTGTCAGCTAAGTTCCCTGGTCTGGTAGGTCAGTTACCACAGGGACCAATGACATAAAACAGGTCCCAGGATACTCCCCTGGGCTCATGCCTCACCTGCTTTACCTCCCTAACTGAGCAGAGCCTGAAAGCTTAATCCTTCTCACCATGCCAGTCACCAGAAGCTTCAGCCCTCAAAAATGCACTTGGGGGGCCTCCTCGGTAGCACAGTGGTTGAGCGCTGGGTTGCGAAGCTGCCTGCAGCCTCTGCAGCGCTGGTTCAATCCCCGGCCGCCAGGCGAGGGTCCCACATGGCGCGCAGACCTCTCCTGCCGCCCGCTGCTCCCCTCAGCAGTGTAATTCGTCAGTCTGCCTGCTCTGCTCCCCACTCTGGCCCTGGTGAATTCTCTCACCCTCCCGCGCTTCTGACTGTACCCAGTGCTTGTATAAATAAATAAATAAATCTTTAAAAAAAAATGCGCTTGGGTTGGAAACTTGACTGCTTAGAATGGAGGAGCCCTGGCTCCTGGGCTGGAGAGAGCTGACAAGGGCAACTGGGGTGTGCTGGGTCAGGGAGGAGGCAATGCACATGGAGGGGATGTATGGTGAGTAGAGGAGATGATACTCAAGAACAAAACTGAATTGCCGGCTTCACAGACACAAGCTTGAGAAATCTGTAGACCCAATGGTGTGCAGGGCAGCTTCCTGCTGATACTTGTTTGCTACCACAGGATCATTTTTGCATGGGAATGACTGGCTATTCTCAGTCCACCTTGCCCTTGAGAGAGATGCATAACTGAATCAGTGCAGCTGAGGTTTCCACAGTCTAGCATATTTAGAATCAAAACCATTGATTGAGAAAATATCTCCCAAAACCTTA